CTGTTTCACCTGAAAAGGAAGTGCTCTTAAAAAAGCCCACAATGATGACTGGGTTTTTAAGAATAACAAGTAGTAGAAGTGGGCAAAAGCTTAACCTAAGGTCTCTACTGTGGCAATTGTTTGCTATTCACGTTCAAGAAAAAATAATTTAACACAGGGCTGGAAAAAATACAAGAGTATAAAATGCTTTGACTATAAAATTGTAGGTTTCTTACTCATTTGGACCATTAAAGTACTGTAATATGCAAATACGTAAGCATTCATTAACACCCAAACTACTAAATCATAGCATATACTTGTCATGTTGCACAGAAATCCTCTATTGCTCTATATAAAACTAGGTTTAATTACAATGCTGTATAAATAAACCTGTTACTAGAATATGTCACTGAGTTTATACAGTACAACCAATGGGCAAGTGACAGAAGAATGGAACTAATAAAAATATGCCAGCTAACTTTTTTCACCTCCTGCTTTTGCCAGGTTTTGCCTATATTTTGTCTGCTCATAGAGTCCTACTGCAGATACATTCCCATATGAGTAGTTACAAACTGTTAGGGTGTGCATGCTATGAACCTTTGGCTGTGAACTGTTGGCAAGCGTAGGCTTGGCTTTCAGTGCCATGAGCTACCATGCATTTTGTTGGCTTATTATAAACTCTGTCTTCTCCAGATCTGCTTATCCAGTGCTGAAACATCGTTGCTCCTGTAGCATAGGTGTGTCAAGTGTGCAGTGTACTACTCTGTGAAATACAGTATAGAGCAAAAAGCTTCATAGAATCATAGAATGGCCTGGGTTGAAAGGGACCACGATGGTCATCTAGTTTCAGCCCCCTGCCACAGGCAGGGTCACCAACTACCAGACCAGGCTGCCCAGAGCCACATCCAGCCTGGCCTTCAATCCCTCCATGGGGCATCCACAACCTCCTTTGGCAACCTGTTCCAGTGTGTCGCCATTCTCTGTGTGAAAACCTTAAAAGATATTTTTAGAATAAGATCGCCACAAGCTGTTTATCATCTAATAGAGAAATGCATATGCTGAGCATTCCACCATATTCCACCGTGCTACGTCTTGAGAACAAAGACACTAATAAGAAATCCTGTTAAAATATTTTCCCACCATACAACCCTCCAGCCGGAGACTATTTCTGACAATGGTTTCACTTTTTTGTAATTATATTCTTAGCAGCCCCATTGTTCTGGACTGGTCCCACAGATATCTAATTTTTAGTAGGATAACATACATTATTATAACATATTAGAATTTTTAACCAGAAAATTTCCCTCTGACTTTACAGACTTAAGGGAGCTATGTCACCATATGTGGTTGCTTGCATTTTTCTGACTACTGTATTCTAGAACTAAATAAACTTTGTCACACCAGCCTTATCCGTGACAGATTTCACTGCCTGGGGATGTTTATGCACAAGAAATAAGAAGTCTGTTTTAACTAGTCAGAAAATGAGTCTAATGAATAGGCTTAAAGCCTCATCTGTTTACAAGTATTTTGTAATTTGCTAAACTGACTTGTAATCATTCTTACTGTAGCAGCACCATTCTCTGCTATAATTTAGCTAACGGCCTACCAACATTTCCATTAGAAAATCCTTTTAAGAAGGCTGTGACTTAGCAGCAAAAATGTGACATAGCAATACCAACCTTTTATACTAACTCCCAGACGTGGTTTGAATATATTTTTTAGCTTTTTAATATAGATGTGCGTATGAATGTTAGCAAGGAAAGTTTACAGCATTATTTAAGCCAGAAAGGTGCTGTAGAAGTTTCGCTTTCTCGTTGCTCAGCTCAGTGTACTCCAGGCTTCACATGCAAGAGACCAGTTATTTCATTAGCCAGGTTCTTTTAAACAGCAAGATGCCATAAGTCAGAACCCAGGGATCTACTATCAGCTTGAAACTGGGCCCAAGTATGCTCAGACAGTACATGAACAACATGACACGCCAATTTGGACAGTGCTGCCAAATTTGCAGCCGTTGGGGACTTCCTGATGTTTATTAGTCGTATTCCAGTATCATGCGGTGTGCAATATGAGCTGCTTCTTGCTGACTGCAGACTCCAAAGTGGCGTCATGAGCTCTCTGGGGAAAACAGACATCATTCGTTTTATTAAGGACCTGGCTGGGACCCCTCACTAGTTTTGCCCATCTCTTATTTTAAAAGAAATATCTGTAGGTTCTTTCTTTTCTTTGTTCCTGAAAAATTAAATACTTTAATCAGTTATGAACACTTTTCTTTTACTACCAAAAGCTTAACCTGTTAGGAACCTTCAACATTAATAGGAGCATAAATGTTTAGCAAAATAATGTTGAACAGGAGCTGCAACAGTCAAATCTGACTGGAAGACAGTATAGCATTCATTATAGGAAGCATATAATGAAGCAGAGGAAGATGGTGCTACTAGCAGTAGAGGATAAAACCCTTCTGATACACCTTCCCCTGGTTAATCTGCATCTAATGAATTTTTCAGTTCAACTAAATCATTTTAAAAAGTACTTTTTTTTTTTCTTTTTTTTTTTTTTTTTCCATAAAACTTCTGGGAAAGCAGCTGTCCTAGGGATACCATCGTGTTCTAACTGATGTTCTCCCAAGACATTCCCATCCAGCCTGAGCTGCCGTAAGTCAAACCCATACTGAGTAGCCTGCTGGCAATGGTTGGCACTGGTCAATAGTATTCTGCTCTGCCTGGTGTAGATGTAGCTATTGATCCCTAGCTCAGTACATTAGGCAACTTTCCTGTCAGAAATTAGCAAAACCACTATGAAGCATGTAGGACCTGAGAGGGTAGTTTTTCTGCCTTCCACGGGACATTTAATGCCTGTCTGAATAGTTCATTGCTAATATGCTCTTAGAGGAGGTTTCACTGAGATAATCAGCTCCATGTTGGGCATTGATATATTGCTGAAAATAGTTTGATCTGGTTTATAATTATAAACCTTCTTTAGCATTGACTAAATTGGTTAGATAGACAAAGTCCATTAATGGCAACAAGTGACTGTTATAAGTGGCAGATTATAAATAATGGCACTAAATATCACAATGACTGTATGAGGTACAATCATCTCTTTCTGCATATCTTGTACCGCTTACTACAATTTATAAATTAAAAGGAAATAAAGCTGGATTCATTATTACATATAAGTAGATTTTAAAATATGTTGATATTATTAAGAAATAATACATTTGAATGTTTCCAAATAACATTTAATTGCTCAGCAGTCTAGCTGAATAGTCTTCATTTCTCAAAAGATAATCTAATGTTCTTACTGGTGCTGAGACTTTTCAATAGCAAAACATCTGTATAATCAAATATAAATAAGAAATGGAATCAAGTGTGAAATAAAGTTTATAATTTTTTCAGTACTATTTCAGTAAAAACTAAAATGCTATAAATTCACCATGAAGAAACTTATCAAATGAAATTTCACTCTACAGCAACCGAAACTTGAGATTTGAGAAATCAGGTGTTAAATTGAATAACATTTACCTCATTTTAATACTATAGAAAAGTAAAAATAATGCTAGAAGAGGTGTACATTTATGTAAGTGCACATAGGGCCAGCAGACTGCTGTTAAAAGGCTCTATCAATCTTCCTTCAAAGTCAATAGAAAGTTGTCTCTTCATTTGAATATGAGCTAAATGTGCCCTGGAGCTTATTAAAGTGGTAAAGTCTTACTGGAAAATACTGACCAAATATTTAATTGTACTGGCCCATCTTTTAGGAGGAGTTACTGTGGAGAGTAAATGAATCCAGTGAGAAAGCTTGTAGTTCACTGAGCTCTAAATACCTACATGCAATATTCTGGTATGCACTTTTTTATGACTTTCACATTTTTCCCTCTAGAAGGATTGTCTGAGTTGACTAAAGGAGTTAAAAAAACATCTATGGTAGTGTCAGATTTCACGGGTGAATGCAAAGATCATTCATTACTATACATATATTTTTCATTCCCAGGTTAGAAAAAAGCATAAGCTCATTTAAAGTTCATAGTCCAAGTTCTTTTTCTAAGATGATGTCCTTTCTGTGATATTAAGTAACTATGTTTTTTATTACTTCTTTTGTTGCTGCTACGTAGATGTTTAAACATGTTTTGGTAGTTCTTACTATTATATGTGGCTACAGATGGGGTCTTACTGTAAAGACTATTGAATGAGTCATTCAATTGGATACACCATAGGTTATCAAAACAGTGTACCAACAAAGACACAGTCACAGCTCACACTTTTTGTCCCAGGAAAACCTCATCTTTCCATTTGCAGGCTATGCTCTGACTTTGTTTCTAAGACCACACAAATTGCCACTTCCTCAGCTCAAAAAAAAGCAGCATCAGTCAATGCAAAAAATAAACTCTGCTCAGGGCTTATTCAGAGACTCCTTTTCACATCAGGTCACTTGGTAGTGATGGTCATGATTTTGTTTAAGATTTTGCCTTTATGAAGACCCCTTAAGTATAGGGTCTCCCCTAGGCAGTATGCACCTATTACTGTATATCCTTTTATCTTCTCTCTGATCCTATTTCCCAAGTGCAAGGAGGAAGGAGAGCACAAAGCAGGCCAAGAGAAGTGGAATCGTGGGTCTTGGAGCCAGAGAGATTCTGCCATGATCTACATGACGTACCAGTTATTCAGAAAGCACGTGGAAGTAGAATATTTTATATGGCCCAACAAAAGAAACGTGTGTATTGTCAAAAAACTAAAGGAGATGAAAGAAAAAAGTAAGAGTTAAAAAATCTCATTGAATAGTCAGATAAAATAAATGCTGTAGTAGACATTTAACTTCATATATCATAAGACGAGAGAAGTTTAAGATGCTCTATTATTTCAGGTTTGCTTAGATACCTTCTTCACTGTTCAACAGACTCTTTGAGAAGCTACAAACTCATTCTGAGACTGCATAGCTACAGCGTGTTCCATGCATGGGTGTTGCACAATACTCCAATAGCAAGTGTTGGGAGCCCACATTTTGTAATCCCAGTTCACAAGCTATAAATAAACATGTAATTTATCCCTCTTCACAGAACAAACTGGATATATTCTAGTGTCCACTTTATGTTAAGAACAAGCTTTTAATTTTCTTCCCAAATACTAAAAGGTACTTGTCCAATTTTAATTATTTAGGGTGACATCATCCATATTTTTAGGAATAAGAGAAGAATGGAGTTCATTAGTTCATTAGTTCACTACTGATTTCACAGGTGCTTTTTTCTACTCCTTTTTTTTGTTGTTCATAAAATTCAACATGTGAATAGTTATTTAATTGTGGCTTTTTGGCCTTCTTGATTGCTTGCTTTTTAAATCGTAGAACTGCTTTGCGGTCCTTGACTTCAGGCAAGACATTTTCTGCAAGGGAATTGGACTTCAATACTCAACTCTTCTGAAATAGTTGGAAACTGCTTCAAGTACACAAAAAAAATCTTTTTTTTTTTTTTTTTTTTCTTCATAATGGCAACATTCAGTGCCTGGCACTTTGAGAGGTATGAAGTACTAGAAGGTTCTTGTACCTAGTACAAAAAAAAAAAAAAAAAGTAGGAAGAACAAATTATTAAATGCAAAACTATTCAAAAAAAAAAAAAAAAACACTTCCATTCAAATGTAAGGGATATCAGTCACTGGAACAAATTCCAATACATCTCAGAAGATAAGACATACACAGGATAGATAGAAAATGGAGCATTCTTCTCCCTTTACAAAACATAAACAGGATCACTGTGAGCTCTGCCCCAAGTCACAGAGAAATTCAGTAGTGAGGTATGGGCAGAATCCACTCCATGACTTAACAACAACTCTATTCATTAGCATTATTTATACTCTTTCTGTTATTACAAACAATTATAGCAGGTCTGGAAAGAAAACTAAGGGAAAACAAACAATTCAGTTTATCAGTCTGTTTTATTTTATCTATTTTGCTATAATTGCTGCTACAATGTACAAACTCTGAACAGTACATAAAATGTTTTAATGGCCGGGACGGAGAGTTACTAGCTAAAGAACAATTAAGCTGTTACCTCCTGAGTTGCCTGTTATACATTCACATCTGGAGGGAAATTATACTCTAAAGGCTAAGCCTGCAAAGGGGTCTTTGGCAACAATGGGCAGTGCTCTGCCTAAGCTCAAGTATCTGAAGGCCAAAGCCAAAAAGAAACTTTGGCCTTGTAATTCTTTCCACAGTTGTGCTCATCAGCCACACACCTCACTCCAGAGCCCTCCTGCCTCAGTGCCCACTGGAATCTGCAGCAACCAGCTCAGAGAGGGGGGACGCTCGCCCAGCTAGAGGGAAGCCTTGAGGATGGAATGATTCTGGATATCAGGATTTTGGGAATACGTTGGGAGGACCAATGAATCCTTGGAGCCAGGTTTTGGGCAGGAGCTTTTTACCTCTATCACTGTACTGGTGAGATGTCCCCAAAGACCTTGCACGGTCACTTTCAGAGACTAAATATGACAGAATTTACAGACTCAACAAAATAGAATCATAGGATTGCCTAGGTTGGAAGAGACCTTAAAGATCACTGAGCTCCAAGCCCCTTCCTGTGGGCAGGGTTGCCAACCACTAGATCAGGTATGATAGTTAGTGCATTAAGAATTTCTCAGTGTTTTAAAAATATGTATTAGATTTTCTTAAGGGATGTAGGTTTGGGCTGAAAATAAAATACAAGAAAGTGAAGTGAGAGTCACAGATACCACATCTAAACTGAGTGGACACAGAGTGCTGGTGAGAGGTCAAGAAGAATAAGTGAAGTATCCAGCACTTGATCCAGAACACTTCTATATATCTTTACTGCCTTGCTCCTTAGCCAAGTACATGCTGTAAAATTTGCAGGTAAGAAAAACTGGAATAACTGAACAGGTCTTTAAATAAGTACAGTTTAGAACTGGTGGGTATCACAGATCTCATTCCTTCTCTGTCATTAATCACTCAATAATTGAACAATCTGTATTCTGGGTTCAGTACTTTCCTTGCACTATAAAGAAAAAATTAAAACAACCAGACCAGAGGCTATTATGAGAGAGAAATTAACTGACATTTTAATTTACTAGTCTTAGAAAGGGAAAGCATGAGTACAGTTTGAGGTGATGGCAGGTCACCTGAGATAAGGAAAAAAGGCCTGGATTCCAGTCTTACTGCTAGTGACAGCTTAGTATAAAAGACCAGAGTTGTTTCAGCTGAAGGGAATTAGCTATTCCAGGACAGCCAAAAGCCTTGACATCTGAGATGGACAGATAAAGGACAGAATTGAAGCTGTATAAATATTTTAACCAGAACAAAACTCATTGGTGGCCATAATTGAATATTTAAGGGTGTTCAAAAATTGGCTACCAGATCAGAGCTCATTTGAAAATTCAATGAGGCAACCACTAATTTGCAAATCCCATTGAGCTTCAGGAATGAGTAAATTACTAAATTGCTGTACATAAGATTCTGGGCATACTCAGCAGCAGAGTTTTTGCTGTTTGCAAGATTTAAAATATAACACTTAAGTAGGATTAAGGAAAAACTGAGAAGAGGGTTGATAATCTCTATGGTAGGTTTTGGTCCTCAAGGGTGCAGGTTGCCTTTATGGATGTGGTTGTAACTCTGAAGTGGCGCTGTGGAGCTGTGAATTTGTAACATCCATCGTTAGATTTGATTAGATTTGAATGCTGGAAATGTTTAAATCTGAGTTTTTTTAACAGGATAGAGGGAATAAGTTCCAAGTTCTTATACAAACAAGTCAAAAAAAAAAAAAAAAAAAGCAAATTTGTTTACAAATATTGTTCCTGATTTAGTAAATATCTAGGCAAGATCAACAGTCCTGGTCACTGAAAAAGATGGATTTAAACCACAAAAATTACAAAATTCCTTTAGAAATTGTTAATTAACACACATTATTTAAAACAACAACAACAACAACAACAACAACAACAAAGTAGGAATCTTTTCAGTGCCACTCTGTTTTTGAGTTGTTATTTTACGCGTTTTTTTTTTTTTCCTGGAATTTAATTCCTACTTAGTTTATACTGCCAGATTGTTCTTGGAGAAGAAAGAGGAGTTAGAAACTCATGTTATTGATTAAAACAGAGATATCCCCTCAATCTTGCATGATTTTAGGGCTTAGGTTCCCTGAAAGAACTCTCAATTTATTTCAAAAAGTGATGTAAACTTAATATCCTAAGTTTAGTTTTGGTAATTCTTCATCAAAGAAAAGCAAAAGGATGCTATGATTGCAGGTAAAATTGCCACTGCCATGGTGAGGAAGCCCAGAAAAGGCTTCTTCTTGATGCCCCTGGAGCACATGGGAAGACACGTATCTCTCATTTTTAGACATCAGGCCAGCAGAGCTGTCTGTGCACACAGATGTCATGCTTTCTGAGGCCACAGGACAGCACAGAATTGTATGTCTTCTCTCACCTAACCAAACTGCTTCTTGAGTTAGAAATACATGCCCTAGGAAAATCCTTCAGCAGCTTTCTTACCTATACTGAAACCATACTCTATCCTAAATCAGCCAAAACATGCAAGACACAAGTTGTCTTTAGCACTGTATTACAAATAATGTACAATATTATTTCACAAGAGACATCCTCCTTTCTGTAACTGTATTTCTTTTGCTAATGGGAGGGTACTAAAGAGAGAGGATAAATCTCAGAAAACAGTGATCACAGCATGATGTGCGTGCATAGGATCATAAGAAGTACATCCAAAGGTGCAGCAATTTTTTTTCACCACCATATACTTGTTTTGCTTCCTACTCCACTGAACTTTTTGTTCAGTGTTTTTAAATGCCCAAGGGAAAATACTTCTGTCATCGTTGCTATTGTAAATAACCAATGATGTGAAGGCTGAAGATAAACTATGCTGAAAGTTGTGTGTGCAACATTTTTTTTGTTTGCTACGACAGAATGATTCAATACTTATTAATTTGTAGGCAAGAAGTGGGAAAATTTTCAGAAATCTTTTTTTTTTATCCCACAGAAAAATATTCAGTGCAATAGCAGCTAGTTCAAAACTTGATTACTTAACCAAAACTAGAGAGAAACTACAGGAAGTGGGAAGAGAAAACGATAGAAAAATCAGAATAGCAAAGAGTAGCTTAATCTGACGCTGACTTGGACAGAGAAAGATCCAGACTAAAGATTATACTCCACTTACTATTTATTTATTACACAGACTTCGACAGTTTCAGCAGAAGAGTCTTCTAAAGTTGTGATATATTCTTTGGAGCTATTCACTTTCAGATAAAGAGAAAAAGAACAGAAATTGACTCTCATATGCATTGCAAGCATCCAAAGTGTAGGCTGCTATCATGAGTTGCTTTTGACTGCCTTTTCCTTTACCTGTTTTTATCAATAGAACTCTGAAGTATTTGATTTCATGGTGGTTGCATTTATGAAAACTTCACAAATTTCATGGGACAAGAAATGTGCTTCCTGTCCACCTGTAGTGCAGATGTTTATTGTATAAATTGGGAATTTATTGCAGTGTGATAATCTGCAGCATGACATTATTTTTCTAATACTAAAATCAAAGTTTTCCCTATAAAAAAGTTAAGTGAGCCTTATCAGAAACCAAGACTGTCATAATTATGATTGTCAGGATCCTCAAAATTAATTACAACTTCAAGCTGTAACAGAGCCTAAAATAGCAAGAGCTGCTGGTGATCCAAAAATCACTCACAGCATGTTCAAGCTAGTATTTGGCAGAGAGCATATGCAACTTAAAAAAGAACATAACCCTTTAGGCCCATGCAAGCAATTAAGTTCTTTGTGGAAATGTCAGACTGTAAGTCTGAAAAGACCTTTCAATTGTTTACGTACAATTTTCCTCTAATTAGTGAGAACTGATTTTGATTTTTCTCCCTCCATTTTTCAAATAGGACCAGATGGGCTTAAGTTCGGAGGGCAGCTGTTCTGTCCAAAAACAAAACAAAAACAAAAAGGAAAAAAAAAAAAAAGGAAAAAGTGTTCCATGCCAAGTCAGACCCCATGATTCTTACAGTGATGGGGGTACAAGTAAATGCCAATCAGCTTAGCAGCATTTAAAGATACGTAAGGAACTTAGCCTGGGAGCTCTGCTGACGACGTAAAACAAGAAGACATTTCCAGAAGTGTCTGTCAAACAAAGTATAAAAATAATCAGAGACTGATGGCAGAAGTTACTGACACTCTAGCTGGTGTACAAGTGGGTGAAATTAAACAGCACTGTACCAGCACTGAATTCATTGTTGCAATGCTCTTTGCTAAAGTTCTAAACGCAGTAACTAGCAGCTTAAAAATGTACAATACAGCTGTGTTTTATCAGAGCTACCTTAAAATGCTAATAGAGAGGATTTTTCTTTTGTTGCACAACCTGTTAAATCACCGCCCTCATATTAGCTTGTGCTGCCTGTGCCACTTCTCTGCTCTCTGTCTTTATCTGAGACAATAGCTTATTCTTCTGCCTGTTCCCTCTTCCTGCTCCTCTGAGCCTACAGCAACTATCAGTCTTGTGTGCAATAGCCCTAGCCCTGACTAATAGCAAAAT